AGGAAGGAAGGAAGGAAGGAAGGAAGGAAGGAAGGAAGGAAGGAAGGAAGGAAGGAAGGAAGGAAGGAAGGAAGGAAGGAAAGAAAGAAGAAAAAGCTGGGGTAGTCAGGGAAAGGGGGCAGATACACAAAAGGGGTGAAGTTTTTAAAGACAGAGGCAATTTTAGAATCCTCCGAATGGATCAGCCCAACTTTCCAATACATCTGAGACAAGCTCTAGCCTCTGCCACATTTGCCTAGTTTGTGAACAGAAATCTCCACAAGAAAGTCTTCCTAATATACTGACCTGTTGAAAGAAAAGACATATATGCATAATGCATATAGGTAAATATGCATGTGGGCATTTATTTATATGGACATACAGATCCAAAAACAAGATTCCAAAAGAGGAAGATAAAGTTAGTCCCCCACATTCCCCTTCTGCTTAAAACATAAACAACTTAAGCATTCTCTGAACCTATGAGAGAGAAGGTGGGGGAGTAGTTCTGGTTCTAAAGGGGGCTTTTCTTGCACTTTTTACCAAGATACTTATAAAGCCTCTCAAGGGGAAGGTGAGCCAGCATACTTAATAAAGACATTACTGTGGGCAATCCATGAAGCCTATTGAGAAGTCTTTCAAATAGAATTTAGAAGAAGATGTCATTTGGCATTTTACTTCTAAGCCCTTCCCTGAAATTCCTAAAGAAAGGTTCTCCTGCCCTCACTATAACGCAAGTTGCCCCCTGAACACAGATTCACACCTTATTAACTCATCTGAAAAGCTTCCTGTCTTTTCTCCTTCTAATACAATTTGTTTTGCCTCAATAATCAAAAACTCTTTTAGACCCCTAATGGACTACACTTTGCCCAAATTAAAACCATCTGATCTTTTAGCCTAATATCCTGCAATTTTTTTTCTCTGTGTGTTTTTCTATATCCTGACTCTTAAGGTTGGGGAAGGGGGTTATTTACTTTAGTTTGTATTTGTTTGTTCTCTCTAAGTCAGCCAACACTATTTTTAAAGCACTTCCTATGTTATCAGTGCATTATTTCATCATTATTATAATAGGTATGTCAACAAGAGTCGGTCTTCTTGGAATCATCCTACTGCTTGTTTCACTGGTTTTCCAGTTGAATGTGTACTCTGACAGTTCGGGTTACTCTAAATCTTTTGCCTCCAAAACAGATCCCAAACTAATTGTCCTGAGAGTATCCTAGCAAAAGAGAGCATGAAGAAGTAACAGTTTCACTATGGACAAGAGAAATCCCCACAGTCAGTTTACAATAAATCTGCAATTTGATCCAATGACATTCTGGAAGCAAAAGTGGGAAATATATGAAGCTGTTATGTTTTGCTCGGGTGGACTAATTTAGTTGGATCCACATCTCCTCAGAGCAAATTCCACCTTGAGAACAGACAAATCCAAACACTACAACAATCAGCTCCAATTCTTACCCATTTTTTTCTCTAAAATAAGAAAGCCAGCTTAAGTGATTTCAACCTCAGTAAGGATCACTGAGCTTTGCTATTAATGATAATAAGGCTGGAAATTTCAGCATGGAAACTTTTTAATGCCCCCTTATTCAGGGCAGGAAAAACTGAATCTGAGGGTCCCCATAGTACCAACAAAAAGAAAAAGAATTTGGGAAATGGACAGAAAACAGATATTCCTGGGAACAGGAGAAGCTTTTGAGATAAGGTCTTACTTACCACGACTGGTCCTCCCCATACACATGTTGTCTGAGGTTACAACTTCTTGTTTGATTGTGAAATAGTCAGTAGACAAGGTGTCTGCCTGGAGAGGATCCCTGCTGAGGATGACTGAGGAATAGTCATTCTCGTATTTGAGGGAGAGGAGCTCCTCAGAGCTGATGGGGTGCAGTGTCTGGTAGGACTCAGTGATGAAGCTGGGCTCTGAGAACTCTGATGGAGGGACACACTGAGCATGCTCAATACCATAACCTGCAGGAACAAAAGTTGGACGGAAAAATGGTAAAAGTAAAATGACTGGCGAGTTGTACTTAGACTAAACTAATCTCCACTCCTCCACTCCCAACTGCTAGTATCTTTCCCCATAAGAAGGTCCCTTTCCAACTGCTCTCTCTTTCTCCTCTCTCTCCATACACACACACACACACACACACACACGAGTGTGGGTATGAGAGAGAAATGGTGGCCTTCTCTAGTGCAGGTGGAGGGGCAGTTTGGAACTTAAAGTGTAGCCAAAAACAAAATTAATTTAATATTTAAAAAGGAATATAGACTCCTTGAGGAGCCAGAAAACAGGATCTTCCTTTCTCCACTAGGATTTAAAGTTGCATGGTACACACTCCTGAATTCACTCCTAGCATAGGATGGGATAGAATAGGCTTTCTTTCTGCCATCCAAAACAGCCCCACTTTAAGAAGCAGAAACAGTAGCAAAATAATCATAAGAAGTCTTTCATTTCCTCCAGTATCAATAGGGATAAAGAGCTCTCAAGCTAGGAATTTTTCCCTAGGTTCACACCATAGAAAGAATGATAATCACGGACAAGTTGGACATTGAACTTACTAATGAAGTAATCCGAGGTATAGCGGGTCTCTGGATAGGTAGAGTTGACTCCACTAACTTGATATGGCTTCATGTCCTCTGCAGCAAATAAGAAGAGGAAAAGGTCAATAGAGAAGCAATATTTGGCCCAAAAGGATCTTGGATGCAAGCACCAGAGTGATCTCAACTGTTCTTGTATGAAATCAGCATTTTCATTCATTGAGGCTACTGTTCTAGGCCTTTCCTGCCCCCAACTCCCCAGGCCTCCTCTGGAGTGAGGCCATTGGTCACAGAAGGGTATTTAATTCTATTATTTCAGTAGCTCTAAAATCAGATGTAGGCTCCTGGAGAGTACCAAGTGATTTCAGTGAAATTCAGGTCCTTAACCTCGATGAAGTTGGCAAAGTTTGCAATCATACAGTCAAAGAGCTAGAATGTACAGAAGGAAGTCCAGGCAGGCCATGCTCTAAACTATCTAAGAAAGATGGTAATTTTTCTCATTTTTAGGGATTTTCAAGTATGCAGATTCCATAGACTCTCTTGATAGCCTTGGGTGCCAGTTTTAATCACCTTACAAAGAAGCTGCCTGGGTGTTTTATCTCACCCTAATATTTCAGGTACAGGATCAGGTAGGACACTGGCATGGTAGGTCAAACTTGAGATGCAACTAATCCTGAATAAGAAGAAAGAAAACTAAAACACATGAAAACAGGAAACTAATCCTTAATAATGAGAAAAAAATGAAGCACTAAGGATGGAAAAGATCTGCTTAGAGCAACTATAGTCAACTTATAATCCTATAACTAGACTGACTAAACCACATGTCAATTCTGTCATAGGTATATCTGATTTTATTTTCAGTGAGTCTGTACTAGGCAAATGAGGTGGAAATAGAATTGTGAGCCTATTGTGGAATTGTTTTTAGGGAGGTACAGAAGGGAAAGTTGTTGGGAGTTTGGGCTTCAGATATTCGATAGTATGTTGGGCAAAAAAAGGTTACAGGTGACAGGCCCATACCTGCACAAGGAAACAATTCCAAGTTCAAACAAAATTATTAAACTCATGAATTTGTGGCTTATCAGATCAAAACAGCAGCAGCACCATTTACCCCTCAGTCTTGCAACCTTCCCTCTCTAAACATTTAGGTTCTGTTCTTGTAGGGTCTGGGTGATTTTTTTTTTATTTCTATTTGTTTTAATTTCGTTTTTAATGTATTACAGTTCCCTTACTGAATGCTTTAGCTTGTGTACAAATAAACAGCCATGGCTCGATTCTACTTTGCTCTGGCCAGGAATTGTTTTTTACTGACCCTTTCATTGAAAGTCAATTCAGGTGATCAGATTTTTGTCATCAAAATACATTAAATCTGAGTCCAGTTCAGTTTCCCTGATGGGAAACAGTGCTAGCAACCAGAGAGTGCTATGGTCTCCAAGAGGCCTGAAAGGACCAATAGGTTTCCCCAGCTACCTACCTTACTATTAAGGAGGAATTTAAACCCCATTCAAATCCTAGCAGTTCTGTTTTAGCATCCAGAAAGGGCACAGGAATTACATTAGTGGGGTGCATTTCAGTTGACAAGTCTGGTCAAATTTGCTGTCATGTTAACAAGGCAATACATAAACTATAGTTATTGTTTCCTCCCTGAGGAATGTAAGTATCTTGAGGGTAGAGAATAGTACATTTTTGTCTTTGTGTCCCCAGCACCTAGTACAACAGCTGGCAAATAGTAGTTATCTAATAAATGGCTGATGAATTGGTGGCTTGAATTATGTGCCTGCTACATATTTTCCTTCCATACACTGGGCATTCATTTCTCTCTGTATGTGAGGAGTCTGTCAGGGCATCAGGAAAATCTACGCATCTGTATGTTGGTCTACTAGAACACAAGAAACAAAATGATTTACCTATTTCTTCACTGCTTACTTTATAATTTATTTATTCATTCATTCACTTATTCATTTATTTGTTTGTTTATTTATTTTGCAAAGGATAGAGGAAAGGGCTAAGGATAACAATTGTGCGCCCAGAGGAATCTAATTTGGGTCTCTCTCCTGGGTAATGCAGAATGGAAAATATTCTTGAACAAAGCAAGGTCTTGTGTAAAATAAAAGTGCTAACCCTGAGCTTTTTCCCCCTCCCCCAGAGTCTGCCAAGGGCTAGAACTGGTGACCACAGGGAAAGGGTGGGACTGGGTTAGAGAGGGCAGCCGGCTTCTAGCCTTACAGTCAGCTGGAGGGCACTGCTGACTGCTGGTAACTACAATTTATTTTAAGAAGAAATTCAGAAAAATAAGAGTAAAAACACCCAAGTTTGCCTCCTGCTGCCATTTCTATACTCAGCCAGGACTGTGGTACATGAGTCACTTGGTCCTAAAAGGTTGGAAGGAGTTAGTAGGGGAGACCATGTCATTACAAGGTTGCAACATAGTGTCCCAAGGTGACCCACTGTTCCTTTCTCAGATGTAAAAGGTGCACTGGACTCTTCCACTTAGAATCTGGTGAATGGTTGACAGGCTTGACCTGCCAGTGAACCCTAGGGATCCAAGCTCTCTCACAGACGTGACCAGGTATGACCCCTGCTGAATGTTGTATGCATTGGAAGAGAGGGAGGAAACACCAGGCGTGGGGGCTGAATGTGATCACTGTCATAAATTACATGTTTATGTTCAGTTTATAAACACGTTTTTCAGAAAATATTCTTTTAATGCTTGAGGTTGGAGATAAGTGCTATGGATGGGTCCCTAAGTACTGAAGGAAGTTGAGGAATAAAACCTTGCTACAGCTCAGAAATAAAAGTCACAACTTTACACAGATCTCAGGAGCTCTGAAGACATTGGAAAGCAAGGCTCCACAAATTTACTTTGCATCTAAGGGCAGCCAAAAATTTAGGAGCCAGGAAAATATTATTAAGTGAGGCATATTTCAAATTACTTTTAAGTAGTCAAACATGTTTTGATCCATTTTTCCCCATCCGTATGGGGAAAAATCCGTATGGCCAAGGATGTGAAGAGAACAAGAGGCTCTAGGCCTCTCTATGGGAAAGATGTCTTCCCTTCCCCCACCTGCATGAGAGACAAACAAATAAAGTAAGGACAGAAGGGGACAGGTCCTAAGGGCTTTGCTCTTTCTTGAACAAGATTAGGTACTCATATATCACCTAGAGACCCAAAAAGAACTCAAAAGCATAAAGTTTACCAACTAAATTCACACTTTTAAAATCACGTTTTACTATCAAATAATTCTATGGAAAGTGAGGTGCTGTGATGAAATTATTAGGCACCACAGTAACATGGATTCTATTCAACTTTTTTTGAACGGATACCCAGAGATATCAGCATCATTTTACTGGTTCTTAAATCTCTAACCCCCAAATAAGCCTCCACCAACCCCAGTTGTTTAGTGCTTCGTTACCTTTCTGTAGGATCTCTAGATGCTCCCATAAGATGTCCCCAACAAAATCAGGGGCCAGTTCCAAAAAGCAGTCTTTGCCCAAAGCACAAAGGGCAGCTCCACTCATGCAGAACTTCTGAAAGTTCACACCTTTCAGGCTGAACTCATTCACTGCCCACATTACCCAGTCCCGAACATGGGTTTCTGTCCATTGCCGGGGATCTGAAAGAGAAGAATGAGACAACAAGCCATCAGGTTAATCTTTTAACCCTTTGTTTCTGCCCCTTTGCACATACTCTAATGAATGGAGCTCAGCAAATTAATATATAGAAGGTTTTAGAAGCCAATTAGGAGGAGGGAGGACTATTTTGTAGGTAAAACGTACAAATCAGTTATCAATGCCATCTTATGATTACTCTTCCCCACCCCTGTTTTATTCCCACCCTCTTACCAGCTAGGAGAATGCCATAATCCATCTATAACCAACATACCCAGAGTATCTGCTACCCTTCATCATTCTAGACACAGACTTCAATGAAAATGAAATATGAAGAGAAAAGAAAAATCTAAGATCATTGATGTGTTAGTTTCTTACTGCCTTATTTCTATTACCCTAATCACTTTGATGTCCTAGAAGTGTGGATAAGTGCTTTTTTATGACATTGATACTATTTCAAAGCACATCTTTCTTTGCTCTATCTTTCATCACTTTATTTTTTTGGTAAAATTATAATTCTTATTTTAAAATGTATCAATTATTATTTTAATAGCATTCATGGCAATCAGAAATAATCAGGTGAATAATAGTTATAATACTTCTATTAAGTTATTACATTGCTCAAAATATACACAAAACCCCTTCCTCTAACCTCAACTTAGATTATATAATATGCAACATATAACTCTTGGTCATGACTCCAGATTTCCCATAACCACACCAGTCTTTGATGAATACTGGCAATGCCAGGAAGATGAAGTGTAGAAGAAGGCGTGCTATGCCCAACACCAAAAAGCTCACTTTGGTCGTTCTCTGTAACTTTGGTTTACAAATGGAAATTCAAAGTGATTGGTATCTACTTTATCTTTCATTAGAAAAGCTCACTTTGGTCGTTCTCTGTAACTTTGGTTTACAAATGGAAATTCAAAGTGATTGGTATCTACTTTATCTTTCATTAGATAGATGTCTATGGTGAAGTGGTATATGAGGGTAAATACATATGGGAGGGGAGGGGATAAGTTTTTATTAAGTACCTACTATATGCCAGGCACTGTGCTAAGTGCTGTACAAATATTATCTCATTTGATATGAGTAGGCCCACTCTAAGAATACTAAGTTTTGGATTTCCCTGGAGTGGGAGTCAATGCCTTAGTCAAAAGGGGATGAGGCCTGTTCAGGGACCATACTGCAGCAGCAAGATGGTACAGCAGATAGAATGTTGGGCCTGGAGTCAAGAAGATATGAGTTCAATTGTAGCCTCAGACATTTAGCTACGTGGCTCTGGAGAAGTCAATTCACCTCTGTCTCAGTTTTCTCAACTGTAAAGTAGAGATAATAAAAGCACCTACCTCCCAGGATTGTTATGAGGATCAAATGAGATAATATTTATAAATTGTTCAACACTTGCCTGAGTGAAGGGACTTAGAAGATGCTTATTCCTTTACCTTTCCCCTTACTCCTGAAGAAACTATCTTCCTAGATTCAAGTTTTCCATGTCTTCTTCCACAAAGGCTTAATGAAGTCTCTTCTAGCTACTTCTTTCCTCTTTCTATATTTATTTTTTTCCTTTATATATTATATACGTATATATCTTCTATTTCCAAATATTTTCAAATAGGATCCATAAGTTTGAGATGGTCAAGTTCACATACATTTCTTCTAACAGTACAGAGATTGCAAAGATATAAAACAGCAGGGCCCAAAGTAATTTTGGCTTTGGTGACACATTTTAGTCAAGGGACAATTGCAGTTGTCCCAGAGGTGATAAAGGATCAACATAGAGAGGCAGTGTGGAAGAGGGAATAGAGAGACAGCTGGATTCTAAGTCGGGAAGCCCTGGGTTCAAGTCCTGCCTCTGACATACTGGATTTTTGACCCCGTACAAGTCCTTTAACCCCTCAGTGCCTCCAGGCAACTTTCTAAGAATATAACTTGAAGAGTTGGTACTGATTTGCATTGACATAAGGAGTTCCTCTCCAAGAATTTCCCATCCTGATGAAATCACATCTGGTCAAAAGGAAAAAAAAAAATAACCATGCAAGACAGCACTGGAGACTTCAAAAGATTATGAGATGTTACATTCTTGGTCTCCCAGAAGCTAATGGTTGAGAGGGGGTGGGTTAGTAGGGTGGTTGGGAAAAGAGTGATGGCATGAATGCCAGATCTTCCGACAGGCCTAGGACCAACTTTTTTTTCTCCCAAGAATGAAAGCATACCTTTGGGAATTCCCAGCCGTTGCTGCTCTTTAGTGAAACCACTGAAAGTGGCTTTCAGTGCCTGTGACATCATTTCTTTACTGCTTGGAGTTAAGAGAGGAACATCTGCACATTCCATATCTGTAATAAGCAGAAGGAACACAAGCAAATTCAATAACCAGAATTAAATAAGTTAATGAATAAATAAATAACCAACCCTGAAGGCTCTCGGTTGCAGAGAGAGCCCAAGAAGGGGCAGAAAGTCAAGGAAACACTTGGTTTAACTTTAGAGGAAATATGTGAGACATCAAAGAGCCAGCACAACCTAATGAATGGAGTGCTAGCCTTAGAGCAGGAGAGATTCTGGGTTCAGGCTTCATCTCTGACACATAAGTTCTGTAGCCCAGACTCCTAGGACCCCAAAAACTTCTCCAAGGCTCTAAGTTATAGAGTAATTATAGATGGGCATTGAAGGGCATTTCTTTATCCCAAATTTCCTGGACAGCTAAAGTCTCAGGCCCAGACCAAAAAATAAACAAACAAATAAATAAATAAAAACACAAAACAAAACAACAACCAAAAAAACAACCAAGGAATCATTTCTATGAACAAATATATCCTAGGCTTTATACAGACTAGCAGATATAACCACTGCCAGAGCAATCTCATTCCAACTTAATTGATCAATCATGTATCAAGCACCTATGTGCAAAGCTTTATGCTAGATGCTGGCAAATAAAAACACAAAAATTTTAGTGCTTTCACTCATGGAATTTTCATTTTACTAAGAGTACAAATCAATAAATGTTTATTAACTGACTACTCTATGCCAGGGTATATAACATGAACATAATAAATAAATACAAGGTAACTGGAGGGGGAAGTAATTTGAGGAAGAATTATATTCACCATAGAGTAATGGAGATGAAAAGCTAATAATTGGGAGCATTTCATAAAGGAAGTGACACCTATAGATGAGTCATGACAGAAGATAAGGATTATGAGAGGTGGGGATGAGAGAGAATGTGCTTCAGGCATGAGGAACGTCTTTCACAATTGAAGAAAGGTTGGAAATGGGATGCGGACATTGGGAACCTAGCTAGAAGACCAGTCTGTCTAGAATATAGTGTACCTGTAGGTGAGGACAGTGAAATAAGACTGAAAGGCAGACAGATTGTAGCCCATTGGAGAGGGTCTTACCTGTGAGATTACTCATCATTTCCTTTATTTATGCCCAGTCCTTCCTATGCATCACCACCCTGCCCCTATATCATTAAGTGAAACAGTTTGAGATAGCAGTAAAATAGATTGGTTTGAAAGCGGAAGACCTAGGTTTGAATCTTTCTACTAACTAGCTGGTTTTGGGAGGTAAATTCATTTCTGTTTCCTGGGACTCAGTTTTCCTACCTGTATAATGATGAAATAGGAATATATTATCTCTAAGATCCCTTCAAACCTCAATTCTAAGATCTCTTGACTAAAAGAACACAGATTTCTGGCTGAAATCAAATACCTTTGGGTTCACTCAAAAGTACAATTTCTGACAAGCTAATAAATAAAGACAGAAAGATTGGGAAATTTCTGCTGGTGTTACTGGCTAATTTGTCTTAGACCTTGGCACCAATCCACTTTAATGTCAGAGGTCATTTGCCCTGCCCTAACCTGGAATCTAATCAGTAATGTGAAACTGGTGGAGCTAAAAGGATGAGATAGGTTAAAATGAAGCACTTCCAGTTAGCAAGCTTTGGGTTTTAAGGAATAAATAAGGTCTTAGTTCTTGAGGTAGTATTAGATGGGGGGGGGATGGCAACTGGAACAAATGCACTGTCTGTCAATCTCAAAGTGAAGGGAGACTCCAATGCATAGAGACAACTGTTATCTCTTTTATTTGCCATCAGAAAAGCTGCAAGAAAACTGTTAAGGGTCTATGTTCTGTTCTCAAAGGGAAAGAAGAATTGATACAGTTGTTGTCCCAAGCCCTGTCCCAGTACTGGGGGCCCTAGAGTCCCAGGGAGTGGTTTTGGTTTGGGTCACTCTGGGACATGCCTCAAAATCTAATGGAAAAATCAACAGTCCTCCAGGAAGGCTGACAAAAGATGGAAAATCCCAGATTGTAAGTGGGGTGGGGGTGCGGGGGAAGGGGGGTGAGGGAGGGAAGATGGTGATTACATAAACATCAGTCCTCCAAACAATGAGCAATCAGTAAGTGACTCACTAAGAAACACATAAATCCTCATACACATACACACACACACACACACATAGATTTTTAAAAATATATATCCACAATGAGGCTCATCCAGATACTTCTGGACCTTTGAAACTAAGACCTTGCCACTGGAGACCAGTACCCTATTGACAACTAATATACTTTGCTTGAGGGTAGGGGCAATTTCTATTTTTAGAAAGAAATTCAACAATAAAAAATATACAATAGAATTTCAATAAATATACTTGTTTAATGGAATTGCTCCAGTATGGAATTGGTTAACTTCCCTCTCTTCACACCCAATCTCTTCCAAAATTGGTGAGTTTGGGCCATGTAAGTTTTATTTTGTTTTGTTTTGTTTCCTCCATCTCCTTTCTTCAGATTTATGACTCGATGAAAAGCACTTTACTGAAGGCGGAAGTTGGACTGGACAGCACATGTGGAAAATATAGGCCAGGCCAAATGGTGGAGTAGTGGGTCTGCAGTTGATTGCCAAGTGGAGCTAAAGGGTGAAGTCAGCCAAGAGGCCTCAGGCATCTACCAAACAGAAGAGTTTGGGAAATCTGACCCCTGGAAGGGGAGAAGGACACAGGGTAATTGAGAGGAAGGAGAATCACAAAGGTTCAACAGACATTGAAAAAGGACTCCCCAGCTTTAGCATCTTAAAACAGAATCCACAGTGAAGGTCTGGACAGTGCTGCTGAGCTGACAGTTTTTCACATGGGTTGTTGCTTCCTGCCTGGAGAGCTTGCATTTCCAGGTTCTCAGTTGTTCCCTTCATGGGAAGCAGCTGGGATTATTTTTGCCCATCCACTTCAGTGCCATCACCAACATACTCAGCTACCACCTTGTTAGTGTCAGCTGCACAATGGCTCCAGAGGCTGAGCCCAGCTCTGCCTCTCTGATTGAGTGGAAAATACCAAATCTCTTGGAAAATATCTAATGACCCAGCTTATGAAAGAGCCATCCAAGCCTACTGGGGACACCTGCACTTGGACTTGAGCTCCCTAGGAATCATATCATTACCCTTGATCCCAAAGGATTCAGATAGTTGGGGTCAGAGCCTTAGCAGCATTTTTAAAGGATGGAAAGTATGAGCTGTACCATAAGTACAGCTAATAAACACACATAACATGAGCATAAACACACACAAAGCAGTGGTTTTGCTTTTGTGACTCAAACTGCAAATTAATAAGCATGTTTATCAGCAAGCATATTTTTATAAATGTGTTTATAAGTAAGCAGATTCTTCTTTTGTGAAATCACAAGGGGAGACTCCTACTATGTTACCTGGTTGGTGTTAATCATTATACTGATTAATAACAACGACGTGAATCATATAACAGACTGAGGGCTGGATCTGGAGGGAGCTCCAGTCTGCTGAAGTTTTATCACCTCTCTCAAAGGATCATTATTATACATTCTGGAACAATCATTTCAGTTGGTCCTAGATTCTTCTTTAGAATGAAGTCATTAAATCTTTCTACCTCTGTTTGATCATAGGATGCAGAGGTCTATCAGTTACCAAAACAAATTAACCAATTTGCAAATGTATCAGAAATATTCATATCATTTTGATAATACCTAATTTATTTAAGCACCAATTATATTCAAGGCATCATGCTCTGTTCTGGAGGGGGGAGACATATGCAAAAAATGATCAATAAGACAGAGTCCCTGGGACACAAATAATTATAATACAAATTAGAATATGGTAAATGTGCCTACGAAGCACAAAGAGCTATGAGGAAGAGATGGCTTCCAGACAGGAGCACTGGGCAGGACAGGACACCTTAAGCTGGGCCAGGCTAAAAAATATGTTGGGCAAAGGGGAGCAATTAAAAATTTGCAAATAGGCAAGTGACAAATTCAAAGTTGTGTCATATGAAGATCATTCAACATTTCCAATTTGTAGGATGTATTTGTCTCAAAGAAGCAAGATGAAGCTCTGATGGTCATGAACCTCAAGGAAAAGAAAAAATAAAAGATGCTAGCAGAGTGGATTCTGCTGGCAAATAAAAACAACAAGACAGGGACAGGAGCGGTGATTTCACTGGGCCATGGAACTCTCAATCGAGGAAGCTCTTTCTACCAATGCAGGTCAGCACCTTCTCTGAAAGTCTAAAATTTACAATCTTAGAGAGTTGCCTAGATTACTAAGGGGCTAAGTGTCTGGCCCAGGGTCACAAACCAGTGTATGTCAGAGAGGCACTTTGAACCCATCAAGTCTTCTTAGTTTCAAGGCTGGCTCTTAATAACTAAGACCTGGCCTCTTCTTTTAAAGCTTGGACTAACTTTCTGGTCCTCAAATCTGTTTTAAATATTAATGATTCTTATTCAAAGATCAAGTGAATTAATATGGAAAGTGCTTTTATATAAATGTGCTATAGCTACTACTATTATTGTTGCTGCTGTTATTATTATTAATATTATTATTATTTCTATTACTACTGATATAGAGAAATTGGTGAGCAGATGGGCCCTAAGATCTTTATCCTATGTGTCTAAGCAGAGCTGATTTATAAAGCATCTATCCACACAGATGGGGCAGGATAAGTGAGTGGTATTTTGAAAGCAGCAAAACATCTTTTTTTCATTTTAGCCATATCTCAAAAAAGTTTTTTCCCCTCTCTCTACTCCATGCCTATTTCCAGGGTAATGTAAAACAAGAATTTCAATTCATTCACATGTAACTCAGAGGGTATTGTTTGGTTTTGAAGAACACTTTAAGGGATTTATTTTGTTTTGCTTTGTTTTTTGTACCATTTAAAACAAATATGCTTCAAATCAGGAAGCTGCATGTCACCATTGCTATATAGAATCTCAGTCTGTGATGACTTTGAATATGGTGAGGAATTACCTCCTAAACCTGGCAAGATTCCTTCTCCCATCACTCTCCAAGGAACCACTTGAAGCAGGCTAATGAATGATT